CGTGGGGGAGCCCCTTTTGAGGGCCTTGCCCTGCCTGGGGAGGGGAGGGGGGATGGCTAGGGGCAGGTGGGATGTTGGGGGGAGGGGAGGGAGATGGAGAAGGGATTGACATCTGAAGAAAGTAAAATAAAATAAAATAAAATAAAAAAGAAACAGACATGCTTATCAATGGAATGGAACTGAAAATGCAGAAATAAGTCCACATATCTATGGATCCCTGATTTTTAACAAAGACGACAGAACTACACACTAGATAAAAGACAGTGTCTATACCAAATGATGTGGGTCAAACTGGATGACTGCATGTAAAAGAACACATATTCTTCACCCTGCATAAAACTCAATCCAAATAGATCAAGGAACTCAACATAATTCCAGGTACACTGAATCTGATAGGAAAGAAAGTGAGGAGCTGTATTGAACTCATTGGCATAGGAAAAGGCTTTCTGAAGAAAACACAGACAGCACGGACATTTAATTAATTAATCAATTAATAAATGGGACCTAATGAAACTGAAAAGTTTCTGTATGGCAAAGCACAAGGACATTTGGACAAATTGGCAGGCTACAGAATGGGAAATGATCTTTACCAATTTTGCACCAATAGAGGCTTATTATCTAAAAATTTAAAACCTTTTCCTGGTTCTCTGTGTGGCCCGATTACTCTGCATGCCAGGCTCTACAACAGGCAAGAAGTGGGTTCTCCTGGGACCACACCAAGGCCCCATAGAGGAAGCACTTCTTTCAAGGACTTTGGCTGCTCTGTATAAGTACAGAAGAATGAGAGGGAGTGAGTTTCCAGAGTACACTTTTCTGTCCCCATAGTCTTGATCCTCTGTGCCTCCTTTTCTGTTCCTGCCCTCTCCATGGACCCTTGCAGCTCACAAATTCTTACCTCTTCACTATTGCCAATGAAACCTTTCTTGGACCCTGCTTCTCATGTCCAACTCTGCATCCCTTCTCTTCTGGACACGCTCATTACAAAGCAAGTGAGTGAGCTCACTCTCCATTCTGCAAAACTATCTCCAAGTCAGGCTGCCCCACCCACGCTCGGGTCCTTAGGGTGGACCACTCTCTCATGCTATTCTTGTCTCCCTCTAACCTACTGGTACTATTTCCTCAGAGTAGTTCTGCTGTGACATCTCAGCTCCCCCAGACGTGTGTTGCAACCTGCAGCATCAGATGGTGCTGCCGTTGTGTGGACATCATGGACAGTCATGGCTCGATGAGTTTTGTAACATTTGAGGTGCTGAATGTGAGACCCAGGGCTTTGTTCATGGTAAGAACATGCTCCGCCACTATACAACAGCCCAGCTATGGTCATATAGGAATATTCCCATACATGCAGTCTACTGCTGACAAAAAATATCATTGGGCATCAAATGCTTGCACTCTGATGTTCACAGTCATTAATTATACTTTATGTTCTATAGAAGAAAAGAACCTTCGGGTCTAAAGGATCTTCACTTCCCATTCTTCTCTTTGTCATGGTCCCACTAAGAATTCCACATTCCACCATATATAATTACTCATTCTGCATTTTCTGAATATAGCATTTACAAGGCTTCACAGCACCTGCCCCTTCCTCTGCTGTAATCCTACTTATCCTTCAAAAATGAATTGAACTATCTCCTCTCTTGTAAAATCCCCTCATGGTCCAGAAATTTCTACAATACTTCATTAATACACTATGACAATGATAATTTATATAGTTAAGGATACAGCAGGGTATCTTAATGCCTATCTCCTCTATTGAATGCTGAGTCTTTAAGAATAGAAACTATACATCACCCATACTTCAGCTGCCCCAAATCTTCCAACCTCATAGATACTGGACATACAATAGATACATACTGGCTCTAATCGGATTGACAATCAAGGGAAACTTAAACATAGGAAGAGACTTAGTATCCCTTGGAAATTGGCTTGTAACTCAAGACATGATCAGTCTAAATACTGCAAAGTTTAGGACGCTCTCAGATACACTTTTAGCCCATGACAAACACACCATGGATGCGCCCATCCCATTATTACTTTTTGTTTTTCGAGATTCAAGTTGTCTCTCAAGACGTCTCCAGAAAGCAGTTCTCCCTCCAGGTGACTCAGCTGACCCTGAAGAGCCTCCAACTTGCTTTCTGCCTCTTGGGCCCTCTGTAGGTCTTTCCGGTGGAGCTCAGCTTCATTTCCCAACTGTTCAACAAGCTCTGATATCTGGGCTTCAAGCTGGGAGACCATCTGGAAAGAAAGATGGAGAAGAAGGCAGAGCCTTGTTTAGATGAAACAAAGTGTTCAGATCCATCACTCTGCCCCAGAAGTATAACCACTATGACTCCCACTTGCAGATTCCTTGTAAAAATTATATAAAATAGGTCATTTGTAGCTGCTTTCCTTTGTTTGAAGTAAACATACATTTCTTATTAAACTGATAATGGTGAATGCTTTTTCATTTTTCTGTAATTCCTTTTACAAATTCACTCAATCAATATTTATAGATAATATTTACTTATCTAAAAAATTGTTAATTTAGAGACTTCAAAGCTAAGCTGGAAGAAAAAAAGCTTCAAACAAAAAATAATTTCAAAAGCCACAAAAAATATCATTTCCCCAGAGATTCTTTCACCACATATAGTTGATTAAAGATTACATGGTGAATTTATCATAAGAAGCAACCTGGAGGTGTTATTGGGAATCCCAGTGCAGACAGACAGATTTTTTTCTTTTATTTAGCCTTCTACTGAACATTGGTTGGTTATATATATCCTAGAATTCAGTGGTACAATTATATACTAATATTATCATTTTAATATCTGAAGGTCAAATTCTTTTTAATCTGGTGACACCAAAAAATGTTCCCAGAATATACATCTTTCCCAGGAAACTCTCTCTTTTGTCTTGATTGTCCTGTCCCCTAAAACAAAGAACAAAAGTTTAAATACAGACTTAAAGCACACTCTCAAACCACCCACATTGACTTTAATAAACTCAGTTTTTTGGAAAATACTGAGCTCTATAAATCTGGGCTGAAACATTGGTGAATGAATATGATTGGTGAATGAATACGTTTCCTTTTGTTTTGGAAGCAGAAGAGAATGGATGTTTACGTGGCTCTGCAGTGCTGCTCAACAGTGCTAATTGTTTCCATTGCTTTAGATTTTTTAGATTTAAATCAAGAACAGAACTCCAGCTTTGCTTTTTTCTTAATCATTTATACAAACACACTTAATACAAGACAATAAAACTGCCATCAAGTTTTTTGGAAACACTATTTTATGTTAGATTTGATCTGGCTTACCCTCAGACCTTCAGGGAAGGACCAATAAGCATGAGTTAGTAAAGAAAGTCCACATTCAATTGAGTTTTCATCATCCATGTCTATGTAATATAATACAATATAATAAATATGTACTGTAGAAAATTCATTAAGGGTCAAAAATATAAATTGGCAAAAGAAATTTTCCATGATCCTCCAAATAGAGACCACAATTATTTATTGAATTCTTTGTTTATTTATTTTAAATAATGTATCAGTTTTGTATCATTAAGATACAATCAAGGCTCACTACTGTCTGTAATTCCAGTTCCATGGTACCCAATGATCTCTTCTGATCTCCAAGATAAATATACATACATGCAGCAAAACACTCATACATTAAAGTAATAAAATAAATAGATTTTTAAGAGATTTTGAAAAGAATTCATCACAGAGCTGGGCGCATAAGTCAGTTGTACAGCTCGTGTCTAGCCTGTATGGGGTTGAGTTCAACCTCTAAAACAATTCACCATTAAAAACAAAGAAAAAGTTCTCGGCACTGAAAGATGGAAGCAAGACTCTCAAAAATTCCAGGCCAGCCTGATCCACATGAGACCACATCAGGACCATGTCCCCACCCCTAGCCAAAGCAGTCACACACAAGAAAAGAAAATGTGTTTTCTGATGATGGAAGCTGTCTAGACACAGCAGACAACAAGCAGGTGGTGGATCCAGGTCAATGGAGGACAGAGGCTAGTCAACTCGTCGTTCAGTGTCAGTGAGTGACACCTGGAAGAGGTTAGACTGAACAAACCGTAATCTCATTCTATGCTTTTATGGCTCTCAGAGTACCACACCTATAATACAATTCATTCTATACTTCTTCAGCCAGTATTTCACATCAGTATCTGATGGTAAGTCACTCAGATCCATGTTTGAGGAATCATTCCCCCCCACCAGGGAGAATTAATATTATTACAGGGAA